TGCAATTCATGAAAATACACACACAAATCCCAGTCCCTGCCAAAAAGTTATTGTCCAACATTTGTGCTTTATTTCTAAGAAAAGTTAGGATAATTTTTCTATATTTGTATAATGTATGGTTATGAATGACGGATTGTCTCTTACCACTTGATTATACAGTACTTGACATGATAGTCTCTTGATTGTAATTGCATAGACCATGCATATTACATTACCTGCCTACCTTTACCAAATATAATGTTTTCTTACCCTTTACTTTTTATCACTTAGAATGTGAAATCTGAAATGTCCTGTTCATAGGCCAGTCCCTGGGCTATGGTACCTTACCACAGACACATGCATACTTCATGTATTGGACAAAGTTCAAATAGTTTCCTCTATTTCTCTGAGATTGAGAATAAATATGGCAGACTTTGGCCAGAGCTCTTAGAGCCAGGGGACCTGGCACTACCTTTTGACACCTCTTCAGGGTCTTCAGAAAGTCCATGACTGCTAGCCATCCCTCTCTCTTCCTAGTTCTTTCTCCTTACAAAGCCCTCTTACACTGAGACATTACTTTAGTGAACAGCATACAGTATTCAGAAATTACTGGGTTCCACCTCATATTTCTACAGGCACTGACATTGCATGTATCACATTTCTTAAGTCCTCAATTTATATGTACTTGCTTGTAAGCCAAAACTATTTATCAACCCATACAAGAGATCTATTAAAAAAAAAAGGCATTTTCACAAACTACCTTGACTCACCTGCCCCTTCTTCCATTAGTGCCATCCAAACTAGCTAAACATCAATATTTATGGATTGCTTTGAGCCTTTTGAATATTATTCTGCTGAGTGAATACTGCTTCCCACTAGAAGAAATAGCTTTTCAAAAAAAAAAAAAAAAAAAAAAAAAAAAAAAGGCTACAAAGAGGCAGAGCTGTGCAGATAGTTCATTGGACATGTGCAGCTATTAACGAGGCAAGAAGGAAGCATCCATCATCTGAGAGACTTTCCAGAGACACCCCATTTATTGCAAAGCACACTACATACACTCCCTGTCTCCAGCAGGTGGGTAGTATGCAAGAGTCTTGAAGAAGCCCTAGTTTATTAAGCTTGTTTATTACAATATATATAAACTTTATTAAGTTTATTTAAGCCCAAGTCTTAAAGATGTCATAGTTTATTTACATGACAGTAGTACTGCTGGCAGATGACAAGCAAAGCCTCTTTCCCAGTGGCTCTTTCAGAGGCTGGTGGCAGACACATTTCAATCGCATTTACACCTGTACAAATCTAGGATAATTCCTTTTAGTCTCTCAATTGCTATACAGATACTGCAGCATTAGTTGTACTCCACACAGCAACATTTGCCCTTTGCATCAGGTATAAAGGTAATATAGGCAGTCTGGGCAGGTTTTGACATTTGTGACATGCATAATGCAAGGAACTGCACAGCTATAAACAATGAACAACAACAAAAAAAAACTCACTGAAGAAACAAAAAAGTTAAAAAAAAAAAAAGTTAAAAGAGTTAAAAGAAATCACAGGAACAAAAGAGAAAAAAAGGCATGCTTACATTTGATACCTTGGGGTATACATGTAATCCTAGCCTTGGACTGCATAGTGACAAACAACACAACAAAATGAGACACATCCAGAGAACAAGGGAGAAAACAGCCGCCAAATATTTGGACCTCCCAGATCCTCAGGATCTAGGCTACCATTACATTTACCATTATCATGCTGATCCTGCTGCCTGTTATCCAAGCAATAGATACTGTAAATGAGGAGAGATGATCAGCTGTGAATTAATAGAATTATTCAATTCCAAATTTTCCCACAGTCTCACAGGGCAACCCCACGAAAATTGTTGTGTCTCTTTGTGTTGCAGACCCACATCTGCAGAGAGGACACAAAGGCAGTAGCTCCTTGGAAACACAGATGTGAAAACATAGCATAACTTGATTTCCCTCTCAAAAATTTTCCTAATTAATGGTAGTGTCAAAATCATGCTTCTCTCTTTCTGTCTTGTACTGGCTGAATTAATCAATTTTTCTCTGCTCCAGCCCTATGTATTTCAAGCAGAAGTTACCCACTGCATTCAAATGCTATAATTTCAACTTTCGTCAGCATTTTCTCTCCTCTCTTGGCACTAGTGAAAGTTTTCATGCCATAGTTTATTTACAGCACATTCAATTCATGCCTCTAGCCATTCTAGGGACATCCCACACACCTCTTCTTATACAGAATTTAGGACTCATTTTAAACATACTGATGATGCACAGAGTGTGCTATCTGGCTGTGGAACATCACATTTAATTGCCTTACACATCTGAATCACATTAGAATTATTTGGGAATTTAGGCAAATTAGAATACAAACTGCAGATAAACTACCCATCTTGATCCTTGTCAGCATAGCCCCCCAGTAGCTACAGCAACCTGCTCTGAATTTTATTTAACAAATGAATTTCCATTTGACTGCTATATTATATTGTTTGTCCAGAAAAATAGCAGAGATTTTTGCTGGGCTACTCATTTATCCTTGCATGTATATACACACCCTGATTAAGAGGAAGATATTTTCTACCATAATGCTTGCTAACTTACATGAATTATACCTAATAATGAAATTATGACAATTTTCTTACCTTAAAAACTTTCTATTAATAATTCAGATGACTTTCAGCCACATAGCAAGAGCCTTTAATCTGAAACCCGAGAAACAAATCTGTATTGTAAAAGCTAGATATACATTTACAACCCCAGACAAAAAAGAGACATTAAATGCACAACAGGCCCCTAGCACACAAATAAAAGCCTAATTTAAAGATAGAATATAATCAGTAAGCAAAACTGTGCCATACCTTTACAGCGAGGAACAAATGTTGCAGTTAAACAGCATAATTCCTTGAAAGATGAGGAATTTGTTCTCCTGAACCATTCTCCTTGCAGATGACTTACCTGTGACAGTTGCCCATTACAAAGTGGTTCTCGTGCAGCCCAGAGCAAACACTTCACAATGTCAGACAGAAATTTGATGTGCTTGGCTTCCTGGAGTTTGGGATCTACAGATTATTTTCCTCTTCGTAATAAAGGTGCAAGACAACTTGTCAGTTCTATTTTTTTTGTTTATTCCATGAAAGCATTCAAAACTCATCCGAAAAATATTGCCAAAATACAAAAGTACATAGCAGTTTGCTTTCCTTCCTCAAATACTGTTTCTTCTGTTCCCCAGCACTTCTGCAAAAGGACAGTTTTGTCACAGGCTTAGAGGGGCTAAAGATCAACCTCTCAGGTGGAGGTGCTGTAAGTGAATACCTTACCATGTGCATACACTTTGGGACCCTGCAGACTATATTGCCAGTGGGGATTGCCAGTGACACCTAGACTTATCACTGCAATTGCACGTGAACATGTGCCAAATGTTTAGTATGGGGTTTTGCACACTCTTTGAAATGATCCACTACCACATCCTCAAAAACCCTGTAGGAGCAATTTCCGGAGTACAGACTGAGAACTCCTATACATATACAGCAGGAGAGGCTTTTCATTATGGATATCTTCCACCAGACCTGTGGAGGTTGTCTCCCCTGTGGCAGTCACAGGGGTGCCTCACCTGCATAAGGATGCAAGTAAATGCTCAACACCCAAAGGCATCAGCCTTTCTGGAGCATAAATCATTGCAACTGCATCTTCCCACTTTCTCTAATTCCCCCTTCCCTTTGCAGGGTTCTGCAGATGGCAAGGAGCCATGCAAGACCTGTCTCTTCCTGACACAATGCTTTGCTCAGACAGAGCTGGGTCTGCTCTTGAGAGAACGCCACTCTAACACACATCCTTCAAGATCAAGGGACATGACATGAAATCCCACGTTTGGGGCTCCCTTAGAAAATCAAAGAGAAGTCACAAATACATTATGCACTTCTCACCCTGATGTCTCCTCCTGGGAAGTGGTCCTCTGCAAGCAGGACTTCAGAACCTCCTCTGTTCTATGACCAGTATAATATATAAAACGTAAACTTTTTACCTTTACAGTGTGTTACAAGAAGAAAACAGAAGTTCAGGCTACCATGAATAATATGTCCTACATGCTTCATAAGGTCAAAGAGATATTAAAGAGAAACAAGCTTTATCATCTCACTGGTTGCACATTTCATAACACTAGATGTTTATAAATTGCTGCCTGAATGAAAGGCCATTCTGAAAACCAGTTTCTGGAAAACCAGGCACCACACCTGGATGAGCAGAAAATAATTTGCTTCATGTTTGCCTTTTTGACAAATCATTGTATTATTTAGCTGATGAAAAATGACATTCAAAATGGAAAGATTAACGATGCCACTGTTGTGTTGATACATACTTAATAGCTTCCTAGACACAGCCACTGCCACCATGTTTAGCATGTTCTCTAGAGGCCAGATGAAACTGATGCCTGAGAGTCGTCCAACATTCAAAAATAAGACATTCAAACATTCTTTTTCTGAGTAGCCATTAAAGACTAGCAGAGAAATATTAGAAGCAGACAGAGGAAAAAAATCAGCAAAACAGAGCAATTTAAAACAATCCTTCAGATATTGAGATATATGGCAAAAGATATATTTAAAAGCAAAAAGAGCTGTGTAGGAGTTTGTAATGGTTAGACCTGCACAATGACGTTGTGTGGAAGCCTTTATTGGAATTCCTCTTGAGTCATCTCTGACTGACAGACTGACTGACTTCAGCGTGGATTGGACTGTGCCCTGCGTGAACATAAAAATAAATTGCCCAGATAATGTAGTAACACTTCAAATATACTTAATCGTCATGATTTTTTCTCGGAGAGATTTAGAGTAGTACTTACTCAAAAGGGAATGATTGCAGAATTTGAAACGTAAGCATTCAGAGAGCAAATTAATGTCTAATTATGAATGCTAAAAATAAAAACAGAGCTATTAATTTCAGGAGCAAATGATGAGCCCTTATGATATGAAGAAAAATAACAGCCCTCTAGAAAACATTTGAAGAGTCCATTGATATTTTCACCAAAATTTACTCAAATTACTGCCAAAATTCTACTCTGACACATTCTGTTACAAAACTCTTTTGTATTGTTTCATACAGTTGCCACCTTCAATGAAGGTCCTGGGTTCAGTAATAACTTATGAAAAACTAATGGGAATTTATTAAGCTAGAGGAATTTGGTGAAGAACTATGTTGAGAAAAGCCCCCTAACTTGAACAAAGTCATAGAACTGTAGAATCTGTTAGGTTGGAAAATGCCTCTGAGATCAAGTACAACTGTAAACCTATTAAAGTTGCTGTTGTAAGATTTTGGTGCAGATTGTGAAGCATACAATTTCATTCAAAGGTCTCCCTTGACAGACACCTAAGTAAAAAGCATGTTAAAACATATTGCAAAGGTCAACATCCTGGGGATTTTAGGACTGTATTCCTTGAGGGAACGCTTCAGCATTCTTTAGAGTATACTGAAAAGGGAAGGGTAGAGAAAAGGAAGTCCCCTCAGTGCTACCCACTACTTATACCTTTATTTTGTTTCTCTCTCCAGTGCTTAGGCCCAAATCCACCAAACACACATACTAGAACAAGAAAGCAGGATTTTTCATCAGGCGAAATGCCATTCAGAAAGCCACTTTGCACGTTGAGTATTTGCATGAGCTCATCTCAATTTGAAGACAAGAATTTTGTACTAATGCTAAAGAATTGGTCAAAATTTAAACCAAGAATTACATTGTGCCACATTTTAACTTTGTTAAAAAGAACACATTTGCAGTTATTCTAGTGGCATTTAATTCATTTGAACCAAAGACAACATTCATCTTAGCATAAGCAATTGTAAAAGTAAGAGGAGAAAATGCTGATTCCCTCAGAGAGACCTTGTCAGACCTTGTCAGTTCTGAACCTCCCTCTCTCTGAAGTGCATTCAGAAACCAAACAGCAAAAATCCCTAAAGGTGCATAATTAATGTGGCAGTTTGGTTGGCATGTTCAATAAACAAGGAAAATATTATATATGTCATTAATAAAAAGATTATTAAAAATTGAGTTTCTGAAGTACAGACCCGAGGTTCTAATGTAAATTATATCAGAAGTTTGAATCCCAAAAGCATTGTCTTTACTTTAATGATGCAATGCTTGCCTCTGCTGCCTTCCCCATAAAGCTCTCAAAACTCCAATTACCCAAGGCAGTACACAGCTCCTGAGGTGAGTTCAGCAATTCACTTAACGTTAAAGCAGCCAAGACCAGGCTGTGATAGCAGAGACAGAGTTTACTAATTGAAACTAAGCAGCTGCAGGGCTGTCCTTCAAGCACAGCCCCAAACTTATGGCAAACTTACATTGTGTTTTGCAGATAGGTGCAGTATGGGCTGAAGAAAAACCCTCCATTCTGGTTATTGAAGCAATGGGGCCTCAGCAGCAACACCAGCGCAGAGGCAGATTAATTAGACAGAGGCTGTCACCAGGCTGCTGCAGCTCCACAGCTCTAGCAAACTCACAGCATGAATGCAGAAAGATCTTAAAAGGACCACAGAGTTATCCCTATTTGTAGCAGCTTGAGACCTTGTTAAGAATGGAAATATAGAGAGGCCAAGGTCAAGTAGCTCCTAATTCATGGTGTTCACTTGCCCAGCATGGACTTCATGGACTTCAACTTGCGCAACCACAGCCTGCTCAAGCTTCCTCAACAGCCACCCTCCTGGTGAAGGACACAACGGGTCCTTCCCTAGCAGACACGACCTATGAAATCTAAATGTCTTCCCAGGCCTCCCAGCTTGATGTATTCACATCTCATATTTGTCTTCACTTTCATGGGCTGGTCTCTGTCACAGCTGTGCTGCATATCCAGCTGCAAATAGCATTAAGCTCTTCACATCTCCTCATGTTCTGGGATGAGTTACCATCCATTCTGCTCTGCTCTCATCTCCTCTTTCTCGTATCTTGTCTTATGCTACCTTTCTTTTGACACTACTACTCATCCTCCAAGAACATTCTTCCTTTTCCCTCTAATCTCCTAATATTCTACAAAGCTTCCACAGGCTGTGCTCCTTACTGTGTGCCGTCACCCATTCCTCCCGCTGTAGGTGTGCACCTCTGAAGAAAGCCAAGCACATGCTCTATTTAAGCACTATTTAAAGCATTGCAGAATTGAGTCAGACTGTAGGATTTAGATGTTTGGTATTAATCTTTGCTTTATAATCTGTGATATACAAATGGCATCAGATAAAAAAAAAAAAAAAAAAAAGGAATTTCTGTATATTTTCAGATCTGTGCATACTATGCGTCCTACGGAGGATATGCAATGACTCATATCTTTTTACGTTAGGATGTGATTCACCTGACTGCTTACTAACAGCCACTTAGTTCTTAAGGCATTCAAAAGCAGGAAAAAAAATGAACAGAGCTTGAGATTAGTACCAGTGATCCAAGCAGAAATGTCCCTTCCTTGCGCGTACTTGCAGAAGGAACCCTGTGTCTTTTTCCCTTACTGGCATTATAGTCTTGTAGGAAAAAAATTCAAAAATCTCTCATAAAACCTTGTTAAATCAGAGAATTAAAAACATGTTGGAAGAAGGAAGGAGGGAAGGAGGGAAGGAAAAGAAAGATCGATCTGTGGGTGAGTTGTGAGTTTTGGGGTATGGGATATGTTTAAGATTTCACTGAACAGTTTTTGCCCAGATACCTGGTCAAAATATTATCTGCTTGAGGCTGTAACAAGAAAAAAAAATTAGTCCATCATATCTGAAATTCACAGACCACATGCTTCATATTAATTGCATAAGAGCACCTTCATTTTCTGTACTCAAAGCAGTACACAATTTGAGATTGTTATTGCCTTTCAAGTAATTGCATGTATTAAAACAAATAGCAAAGATTTGCAAATTAACTATCCAGACTAGATGGGGCTGCCACATCTTTTATCTTTACTTATAAGAAATTCTCTTTGGGAACAAGAAAGATAAACAAAACAAGGAAAGGGAATCAAAATAACTCATTTGTTTTATAAGATATGAAATTCTTTAGCGAATATTCACCTTAGATCATTACTTATGCACTTTGAGGTAGAAGGACTCTGCAATTTACTTGTACCACACAATAGGAAAGTAACAAAGGAGGTAGTTATACAGCGAAACTTGAAAAATAACACAGTTCACAGGTGAAGATAAATCCAACTGATATTGTGAGGCAATTCTTCACTGCTTGTTTGTAAAAGAGTAGTAGCAACCTGAATGCAAGAAAATTGATCTCTCAAGGTAACCAGGTCTGTACCGGGGACAGTATGCTCAGGTACAAGTTACACAAATTGCTCTTCTAAGGACACACTTCCAACAGCTAGCTGGTATAAATCTTACTCAGAAGTAGAATCATTACCTGAGTTTTGTGGCCCTGCCTGATGAAAACTGGAGACAAATGGATCTGACCTGAAGTTGTCTGGACTGTCACTTCAGGCATTTTCAACCTCAGTGAATTTCAACCTACTCCAAAGAGCTCCTGTGAGAATATTTAGATTGATTTTAATAGGCACTTATACAAAAATGAGAAAATGTAGCCTGGATTACATTTGGATGAAACTTTATCATTTCTACAGAGTATGTAGGTATTCTTAGGCTTCTAAATAAGCCTGTGCAGAACGATATCCACGGGACTGGCAAAGGGAGGTGAATGAGCCTAATTCTTTTAAATTTCTATATAAAGCCAGCAAAGGCAGAGATATACCCATCTATGGACCCATCATTCCTGTTATGGACTAGAGTGCTCTGCCCTAACTCAGCCATTCGCACTTGCAGCAGAATCCATCAGGTTTGGGACATGGTCAGCTGGCTTTACTGTAAAGTTTTACTACCACTGGACATCAAATGCTTCTAAAAACGTGGCTGGTTTTTGTTCCAAAAACTTTCAAACTGCTGGCTATTTACATTAGCAAGCAGTATAACCCTACAGGAGTAAGCTTGCTTCATTTACTTCTGAAAACACTGCATATTAACTACATGCATTCAGGGGCATGGGGGGCACAAATGTACTTTGGACCATCTCTAGTCTCATTCCAGCAGCTGTGAGATGTTAAACATGCTTTTGGAGCTCATCTCAGTTTCATTCAAAAGTGCAGTTTGTGTGTTCTGTGAGCCAAAGCATTCTAAGTGGCAACAACTGGGAGATGTTGTTTGCTTTCTTTTTCCAAAAAGTGCACTCCTGACAAACTAAGTGGGTACACCTCGTAGGTGCAGCAGGGAATCTCCAAGACAGTAAATCAAAGTAATCTGTAATCAAAGACAGAAAAAGAAGCAGACAGAAGCAGACAGAAGAGAGGATAAGAGAGGGGAGACTCTCCAGAAGTAGGAAACCTCATTAAAGCTGGAAAACAGAAAAGTATGAACAGAGGTGCAGTATCCTGAGATTTCTAGCTTCCTTTCTAAGGACAGCTGGAATGAAAGCCTTAAAGCCACAAGTCAGAGAGCACAGCAAAATGAGATTTCTCAAAGAGAGGACAAATACAGTGTAAGTGTATAGACTGTTGTATATTTCAATTAAGATAAGGTGCTGAAATGAAGACAGAATAACTGAAAATTAAATGGTGAGGATGAAAGAAGTGTCTAGGAGGAGCAAGGACTGTTCAAAATTAAGAGTAGGCAAAAGCAGAACAAATATTTTTGGTTGAATGCAGTCCAAGTCTTTATATTAGGATAGTGGAAAACTTGAGATGCCACAATTTTTTGATCTTCTAATTTTGCTCTGTTCTGCCATAGTCTTATTGCTAAAAATTCGCCTGAAAGAATAAAAATTTACAAAAAGAGTCATCCCGTTGTAATGCCATACCCTATTTTCGTGATTAGGCCTATCGTTGAGGTATATAGTGACTCACCAACAGTATTTCATCTGAGTGAACACAACGATTCTAATAACTGTCTGCTAATTAGCAGGTTTTTGAGATAAAGACACAGTTGAATAGCTTGCATCCTCTGACACCCCAAATTAATAACGCTTCAGTACCAAATAATAATGTGGTAGAGAATGGCATTATTACTTTTTGATACAGTACAAAATAGATTAAAATGAACCCAGCTTGTTTATGCAAAGAGCCTAACCATTTCAAAATGGTGAAGATCTCCAGCTTAGCTCTAACACACAATGCCCTAGAAAGCTCTATATAAAGCTTGAAGAATTACTCCTAAAGCAAGATTCAAACATTTCTAGATTACAATTTTATGAATAAAATTAATTAACCAACAATTCATTACATTCTAAAAGCTTCATCTGACCATAATGATCCTTGTTTGCAGCCCAAACAGTATTTGGTAATTGCAGAATGATGGAGCAATGTGGATATTTTTTGATTACAGTTCATTACATAAGATTACAAGGAAGAATTTGTCTTTGAATCATAATGAAAACTTAATTGACACCACTATGCTAAAATATTTCAAATGATTAAATTTCAGTCTCTTGTCTTAATCAGTTTTATATTAGAAAGAGATTTTAACAAGATAATGCTGTGAACATAATTTCATTGCATTATAAAACTGTTGGCTGGATCTCATAAGTAATTAAAACTCCAACCATCTTGGAAATCTAACACAAATGCAATTCCAATTTTAATATTCTTTAAGATTATACAGTATCAAATTTCTTTTATTTTCCTCAACTACCTTTAATCAAAATTAAGCTTTTTTTTTCCCCCCTATAAATGGTCTAAAATTATACTTGCAAGATAATTTCAGGAAGGATATATGCCAGACACTAGAATCATGCCTCAGGACATAAATTAAACAAGCAACAACATGGGTGGAATTACAAGATGAAGTTACTTTTCTGTACAATACGCTCAGTGATTTTCAAATGCTGCTATCTCAAGATCTTTCACTCCATCCAGAGGTGTTCTCAGCTGAAGCTGAATGTGCCGAGAGCTCATTCAGATATATAACAGTCATCAAGTAGGCTACCATGAGCTCACATTTATTTCAGAGGCATTTCTCTCTGCTGTATTTAACCATATCACAGCCCAAGATAATCTATTGTAGAGAATAATAGCATGTATCACATGGCTGCATTGGCTGCCCGTCCTTCACATTAACAGAATTGATTGCCAGAAGTTTTAAAATCGCAAGAGCATCTTTAGAATTGAAATACCTGGAGAGAAGGAGCCACTCTCCTAGGTAATGTCATGCAGTCGTGATTCACTCTGCCCAAATACCTGCATCTACTACTTCATTTTCAGCTGAACTCCTTCTGAATTTATGAAGTTGTTCTAGAAGAATTCCATAAACACCAGTACCACAGCTCTAATTACCAGTAACCCCTCAAATCACTGAGCAGCTGGCTTGTACGTTAGAGGAGAAATGCAAAATTCAGGCTTATGTCAAATATCTTATTGCCAAACAAGGAAGCAAAAATTGAGAACAGTCTCAAAAAAAAATTGCACTACCTCGCATGGATCACTAAACTCTAATACCCTGTGTTAAAATCTATCATAGCTGTTGATAAGGCTATTAAAATAATGCAGTCAAAATATTTTTATATGGATTTCAAACTATATGAAAATCAGAGGATAATTGGATCCATAGCTTTAGTACAGGCTTATTTCTTACTATAACCTACAGGGAACACAGACCACAAACCAACGGAGCACATTTTGCACATTTCTTAGTTGGAACATGCTCTTTGCAAGACTTCTGAAATTTTTTCCTTGAAAAATCCAGTTTAATTTAATTTAAATTAAATTTAATTTAATTTAATTAATTTAATTAATCCAGTTTAAGCATGTGAAAAATAGTGTATAAAAAACAAACTCACTTTGTATTTGTGTTAATCAGAACAAATCAGAAGAATATATGAAGTTATACATGAGAATGTAAATACAGTTATGGTCTAAGAGACTTTCTATTTGTGAAGAATAAGAGTGAAACAGTGAAATACAAACACCATGTGTAAAAAAAAAATATAAATATGTTTTGGGTTGTTTTAATTAAAAACATTTACATATAGTTTAGTTTTGTTTTGTTTATATACAGTCATAAGTTCAGGTTAAAAATTCATAAATGTTCAAAATTCAAAGATGGGAATGTAGAGAACACAGATTCATTGGCTTCAAAATTAGCTCCAAGTTCTTTCTCTAGATCCCTCAGAAAGCATTTTACAATAAGCTGAGCTGGTAGTGCCTACCTGTTTCCAAAAGAGGCAGTCCCACCTGCCCTATGATCACCCCTTTCTTGCAAGTAGAAGCTGTTTTGCCTTGACCTACACTATTTTGCTTGTCTACCACATTAGTGACCAGGAGCTAAACTAATGAAAATCTGGTTTAAGAAAGCTGCAGTAAAAAGCTACATAGAAAGAGCAATAATTTTCTTCAGGTTTAGCTTCTCACATCAGGGTAGGGTTAGATGAGCACCAGAACACTGACATGAGGCAGAAATGTTTTACCAAGGCCTAGGGAGAGAGGAAAACCACTTTTTAGCTCAACAGCTAAAAAGACCATCTTAACTACATTAGGAAGGCATATGTCTAGCAGACAGAAGTAAAGATGACATTCTCCCCTGCCTACAGCACATCACAACATAATGTCCCATTGCATATCATGGTTTATTCGCTCTGAAACACCAAAACCTTTGGCAAAGAGAAAAGTAATTCTGAAAAGTCTTTCTGCCTGTTATTGCCAGATCTTGATTTCTCCAGTCCAGTCACATGTTGCAAGGAGTGATGGCAAGACTGGGTGAAATTTTGCACTCACACAAGCTTCTTTATGGGCAGACAGAGTGCGAATAATCCTAGCAGTATGGTAGTTATAGAAAAACACTTTGCCATCAGAACTTCCTGTCACCAAAAGTGTTCCATCTGGAGAAAATTCACAGCACACTGCAAATCCTTCCACCTGTAAAAAAAAAAAAAAATAGTAACAGCATAACTCCTGTTGCTGATTAGAGAAATTCATTGTGGTAATACTGAAAATGAGTATGGTACCAAAAAAAATGCATCTTTAAATAAATATGCACTAAGGACTTCTCCAGGTGTTTATTAAGACACAGCTATAACACAAACTTATTTAATCAAGCTATTAGGTATTCACAAAGTCTTCTAAAAATGATCTTCTTCAGAGTGTATGAGATTCAAAATAGCATACGGGAAAGCAAAGGAAGGTAATTAATACCTATCACTGATTTATCATCAAACACTATTAGCAGACTTATTAAAAAGCACAGTTGCTTTTCTATCTGTCTTGCTTCTAGTCTTGGATATGATCATTCTGGTGAAAAAGAATACCTTATGTCCTTCGTATCTTTTCTTTTTGTTGATTCGATAAGGTCGCTGAGAAGAAAACAATGCCATATAGTTCCCATTTGTCTGAGCAACAAACACAGACTCTCTTGGGTGCAGAGCCAGACTGGGGCAAGTGTAACGCTCCTGAAAAAAATTTTAAATAAAGTTTTGTTGCATGAAACAAATGTTTTGCTGAAATGAATCAAGTTAACTTTTGACGTATTCGAAAGACCATAAAAGACGGACTAAAAGTCATCTCCATGGTATGTTATATATATTTATAACTCATTATAGTTAAGTATATATACATAACTCATTACAATGCACTGAAAGTCTTACACCAGGTCAAATATTAAATCAAATATCTATCCTGTTTTGGTAGATTTCAGCTAGGTCCAAACCAATCATGAAAGAACCCCTCTTCTAGTTTCAGTCTAAACAAAAGACACGGTGCTAGATTTTGAACCCCTGAACATAAATTCAATGAGCTTTGGCTGGAGACAAAGGACATGACAGCAACCACTGGACATGATGGACTATGCAGCAGAGTGGGAAGAGCATCAGACTGATTTTGTTACATGGTTTGGAAGTGACGAATTGGTAAGGCGGATCTGGCTATCATAAAGAACTGGGCACAGAAACCAAAACTGCGTTACGCACCATGCCTGGTTAGGAGTGCATTCTGTGGCAGGGCACTGTGTATTTCTGGAGGGAAAACTGGGTCTAACAGGAAGGGATCAGATAGCACCACACAATCTGCAGGAGCATTGTGCTGTTATGCTGGGTGTTCAGTAGTAGTGGGTTATTTTGGAGCTCAACTATTCACTCGGTAATGCAGATAAGCAATAGATGAAGTCCTGTCAGGACCTAATCTGTTTGAGTCCACAAGTTCTCTCCCACCTTGAAGGGTTCAAATGTGACATTCAGAAAACTGAAGTAGGGTTTACCAAAATCACTATCATTTTCTGTTTACTTTCAGTGCAGAAGAGGGAAAATTGTCCAGTTCAGAGATACAGCATTCCAGAGAAGATAGGCTGTGGGGTTTTGTTGTTTGTTTGTTTGGAAGAGGACAGGGAGGGAAAGGCTGGTTGTTTGAAAAACAGCCTTGATACTGAAACCTGACTGTTCTGTACTTTATTTATTCACCAGTGGTTTTTTGTTTTTGTTTTTTTCCCTATTGCCTATTCAGGAAGATAGAAGATCTAATATTAGACAAAGACATAATTGTGGGAATTAAACATGAAACAAACCCATTAGATCATCTACTGCATGTCCTTGTCAGTAGAGAACTGTTCATTCCAGCCAACAGGCATCTGTATACAATTCAATCATATTATATTACATAGGATATTAGACTTGGGTTTTCTGAAAAGATCCAGGGAGTTGGAATTATCTGTTAAGTTCCTTGGTAATCTCCTTTGAAGCTGTCAGCCTTTCTAGACAATTTAGTCCATTAAATATCTTGTCTGGGCTGATTATGGAGAGAAACACTATCTGTATTGATAAAAGTAAAATCTGCCTCTGTGATTATGCCATGCAAGATATCAATACGCATGTATCAGGTTGCTATTACTATGCAAATATAAAACTCAGTTTGTCAATAGCCCTCATTCCAGCTTTATTTTCTACATTATTGACAAGCATGAAATACTATATCATGACCCAAACAATAACAGCTGTTGATCTTACATGAAAAATCTGATTGGAGATTTTGGCAGCACTTTGGAAGTCCCATGCAATAATGGTACGATCAGCTGAGTCCCGGCTCACTGCATCCGTGCTTGTGAGAAATTCTTTTCCTTCGGTGAGAAAGAGTATATCCAATGTCTGTTGTACTGCAGCCTTGTAAACTCTCGTCACCTAGTAGACAAGAAAGTTTCTCATTTTTGGACAGAGAATGATAGTCTATGTTCTTGGTATCAATAACTATCTTCAACCAATAATATCTTAGTATGTGGAAAAAAGTCATTTTTAAAAGTTGAAGTAGAAGCATATTAAATAGTTTGGTAATGTATGTAAATAGTTCCCACACTGAAAAGTTGCATGAGATATATAAAAAAAAAAAGCAGTCTATATAATTTACATATTACATTTATATGTACTTCAGATTCTGTTATAAATTCTTAAGGAATTAGAGCTGGATCCAAAAAGAGTTTTAGATGACACAATGTTGTGGAGCTGGATCCTTCAAGCTCCCTTCTATTTTATGAACTCAGTGCACTCTGAGGATGAATCTGAGGAGCTCTCCTTCCAAGAAATGTCAGAAGTTTATGTTTTCAGTCCTTTTGTTCTCAAAATCTTCAGCTAGTTATAGAGACAGGGAAAGGAAAGCACGGGGATTTGCAACCTAAATGACATGGCAAGTGAATACTCTTGTTGATCATTCTAAACTTAATCATAAATGACAGGGGACAAGTAAACTGGATGATTCAGGACACTCTCCCAGTCCCAAGCTGTTGTGCAGGGAAGCTCACACACCGGGTGAGAAACTGTCCAGGAGGCACCTGCAGACATGCTCTGCAGAAGCACCTTCATCTCTGCAGAGGGCAGTTCGCTCCATTAAGGGCTCAGTCTGACACCCCCTCATGAAAAAAAAAAAATAAAAAAAGAGGGAAAAGAGGGAATGATGGTGACATGAGAGCTGCTGTCAAGCGGTTCATTTCTTTAAGGACTCAGCAAGCATGCTGCCTTTGTCTGTAGGAACTCCCACCTCATCTGCCCACTATGGCTCTGGCATGAGGCAGCCTCTGCTGCTGCTTTTGCTGCCACTCTGCCAAGAACAGAGGGCAGCAGGGAAAGAAAGAGTCATCAACACTTCAAAGCACATCTGAGCTCAGGAGTAAATAAATAATGTGCCTCATGCACTAGCTCCAATTTTGTAATTAATGCACATGGTCAGTCTCTAAAGTTTGTGCTATAAAAGTAAATACAAAAGTTCCCAAATCCGCTTTCCAAATCAAAAATATCACAGTTCCCAAGTAGAGATCCTCTTTTAGGACATATACCACAGAGTCTTGGATACATGCAGAAATGGATCCTCAGCCACGGGACTCTGAATATTTTAGCAGCTTGTGAGTTGGATCTTAAGATGTGAGACAGATTTTGAAGTATTCTAAGGAATATATGAATAATTTGAATTTCCTTTCTTTCTACCTTTCTTCATGAAATTCTGCATCTGTGTTGTCTACTTTGAATCTTACAAATCAATACCTTTGCTTCCTTTTCTGTGATTTACCTCCAATGAAGAAAGACTTCAAGGCAAGTGGCCAGATCAAAGCAGTCCATCTCTGAATATTCTGATCCTTAAAACTAGGACACCAAAAGACTTAGTTTTTCATATCTAAATCTTTCTCTCCAAGATAGCTAAAACATAGCAGCCTGCACTTCCAATAGGGTGTTCAGAGGTCAGTCCTTCTTGCAACCTCACAGAAATATCAACTGAGCAGAGAGACTGCATGCAGTATTATACTGAAATGGTTCTTAACTTGTGAGGCATTTCAGTGCCTGCCTTATACCTAAACTTAATTATAAATTACAGGGTAATCACCTGTAACAGCACATGGCTATTGAGTTCATGGCTACTGAGCTTGTATAGATCCTATAAGCACAGACATTTTTAGAAGAAAAAAAATCAGGTACTGCAATGAAATATCCTGGATTATAACTGTTTTATATTTTAAACAATAAGAGAAAAATAATTTACAATATCAAACACAACGTGAGAACTTCTCAATTCCTTGCCTCGAGCTCAAAATCTATGAGTGTTTGGAAACGTTCAGAACTAGCTGATCCTGCTGTAGGGTACAGAGATACTAGATGATCTCCTGAGGTCCCTTACAGCTCTGCTTCCTGTGATCTCAGCATGCAGAAGTATGGCAGCAGCTGTTCCAAGTGCTTTTCACAGGCTCTGTGAAATGTAGTTTGGAAACACAATGTTTGCACTCAGTGAAGGACCTTGGTCATGCAAGCACTCTACACACACAGCAATAACATCAATAAGATGTAAACCTGCAGACTGAAAAAACTGGCACACTTTTCAGCAATCTGCCTGCATTTTTAAGATACAGAATATACAATTGTGTTATTGTATGTCATATTTTTCATCCGAGGAATCTGCATAATATACAAAGCAATTAAACTTTGTAAAGCAAAAATTGATATTTGCATATTTATAATGTTCACTTTGTCTATGAAGAAATCACCATAGATATTTATTTCTTCACTGAGTTATAAAAAGAAGCACATAGTTCATTAGAAAAGTTGAAAATTAAGCTATTTCATAGGAGCAAAAAAAAGGCAAATATACCTGATTTATAATGTCTGCCTGGAATGTGAAATGGAATACCATACAAAGATTTGACAGCTGTAGAAATTGCAGGAGAACTGAAATAAATGTAAACTGTGAGGATGGGACACAAAGGCAGAGGGGTGCTTTACCACCCCCATAAAGGGGAGGAACTACCCCGTGAAGTACCTTCACAGAGGTGACAAGCTCCAGCTGGGAAGAGCAGAGAAGCACAGACATGTAGCAATGGGAACACAGATGCAGAAATGAAGGTCAGTTCATTCCAGGAAATGTAAAAGAACAAAACAGAGTAATAAAAGATAAAAAAAAAAAAAAAAAAAAAAAAGTCCCAAACAGTGATTCAAGGTCGTGATTCTTTAATATTTCCTTACTTTAAAGATGGAACAAACTCAGACACACTGCTTGGGTCCTCAGCTATGTCAAGCCTCTAGAAAAACCCTTGTGAATACACGTACGTATAACCCCTATACACACTGTCCAGCGTTGTTAGGGGTTAGTTTGGGGGCTTGCTTTAACACATTTTTAGACCAAGAAGAAATTGTGAAGATTGCAATGTAAACATACGTTTTTTTTTGCTGATATTCTGTAGGCCCCTTACCTAAACGGCCACTATCAATTTAAATGTTTTCACTGCTAACTATTAAATATATCTGCTTGTCTACTAGTCAGTAAGATATCCAACAACTTAGCACTGTTTCAGAAAAATGTCTATAAAAATTACTATAAAATAATTAGTATAAAATACTAATCAGGATAAAATACTATATTTTTCTATACCTTTGACATGTTCCTCAGAAAAACTATGCTGTTTAATCACCAAACCACATAGTAAGAACTGACTCAGAGAACAATAAATTAACACTTTGAAAAGCAGCTGGGAACTTGGTATACATAGTATTTAAATTCCTCCATAAAGATGGCTTTCAAAAATAACTTATTGCATCACCCCTGCTCTGAAAAGTACTCATAATTAAACCTGTTTTGTTCTACCTTAGACAATCAATTCATGACATGCCTGAAGAACTCACTTCAGGAAAGCATGAGTTTTCCTACCCTGCTGGCTTTAGTTTGTTAATAACAGCTTTTGCTCTTTTTCTATTTGCAGATTTATCACCCGTAAGCACTGGAAAACCACAATCCACTTGTTCAATCGAAGCACTTTCTGGACATAAATGAAATCCTTTCAGAAAGAAGGCCTAATAGTTTCCGGTGTCAACAAAAGCCAACATAATAATAAAGCTTCTTTACAACAGCAAGAGTTCATGGCTGCAGGCATTCAACAAGAAAGGTAATTTGGGCAAATTAAATCAGTTTCAAATAGATTCTTATGGCTCTGGTGATTTGAGAAGCATGCTGTGACGCTGAGTTCAAGGTATATATTTCATGTGGATGTCCTATAATACTTCTCTGCACAAAGTATAGGCAGTGCCTTTTGCTTCTCAGGAAAGCTCGGAGCATCCATACGAGCACTTCAGCTCACAGCGCTGTCCCCAGCACCACTGGTCACCCACCACCCACCGGCACTTCTCTTCCCTCAAGTCCAGCTTTAGACAAGAAAGAAATGTGCCTGCACATCCACTGCCCTGAGAATCTGGAAATTAGGTCTCACAACAAATCTAAGAGTACTACAGGCAATCTGGAAGGTCACGAAAAATGTCATTGATCAGTCAGTTCAGTGGTTTCCAACCTGTAAAATGACCTTTTTTTTTCCTTACTCTTCTTGGCTTAGCTTCTTAGTTGGAGTGCTTTGGCACGAAACTGCCTCTTCCTACTGGCATGTTGGGTAATGCAATGGGCAACTGATCTAAGTTTAATTTGCAAAACTGTACTATTGCAATACAAGGAATAAAAAGCATGTTTCAACTAAAAAGAAAGCTCATTTTGCACAGAATAAAAGCATTTCTTCCACCTGCAGTGTAAGGTGTTGTGTTGAGAGGAAATAATACTCATTACAAAACAAATCAGTTAAACTGTGGTAAGAGTATGTGTTGAGCCACATAACTACTATTTGCTTTACAGTAACAAATTCAAAACAAAGCCATGACTATTGACAAACACAATTAATGTTTCTGATCTCCATCTAAAAGATGCAGTGGCTGTTTTAATCAAAATCCATGGTAATAGCATAGACAGGAAGATCAAACTTGTAGTTTTATGTTCTTTAAAGTATTTTAATGTAAGACTGGTGTATAACATGAGAGGTGGTCCCATTAAAAAAATGTGCCATGTTTATGTTGTCAACATTAAAAATAAAGAAATCAAGAACAAAATTTCGTGGTGTGAAAACTCAAAGCAAGCTGTGAAAGACAAAGACCACATGGGTGGTGTAGGAAGTCCCAAAACCATAAATTTTAAAGACCTGAGTAGCCATTACTGGAAATCTTGATAAATAAGTCTGAAGTGCTTTCATACTCTCTCTACTTTTTTTAATGCCCAGTGAGTGGCTGCTGTTGTGCTTGTTTAGAATTTGTCTAGAAATGGACTGAAACCAGAACCAGAATTTCCCAACTATGTGAATACTTACTCTTCAGAAAGAAGCATTTGTTGTTCTTGG